CATCATGGCTCTGGTCTGTGCCATCAACCTCTACTTCGTGGTCATCTACCTGCCCAGCCTCCCACACCCTGCCTACTTCGTCCTTGTAGCTCTGCTGGCTGCCGTCTACCTGGGCCTCACAGCCTATCTGGTACTGCAGGGCCAGAGGGTGCCTTGGGGATGGGGGAGGTAAGGAAAGGAGGCAAAGGATGGAGGGCACTGGGGAAAGGGGATTCACCTGGGCTTCCTGGGAGGTCTTGCTCTCTCCTGGACTCACATCATCCCTCTCCCAGGTCTGGACCTGTCTCATTGCCCATGGAGCCACCCTTCTGGTCCACAGCTCCCATCAACATTTCTTGTATGGGCTTCTTGAAGAGTAGAAGAGGGGGGAGATCTCTGGATGAACTCCCCACCCTGTGACTGGCTGGGGTTTGGGATGACTGGGGCAGACGGGCCTGCTGGGGTGTGTGTGAAGGCAGCAAGGTGGAGTGGGAGTTTTGGAGGCAGGCCAACCTGGATTCCGTAGGGACCTGCTGTTTCCTAGGTTGGACAAGTGATTAACCTCCAACCTCAGTGTTCTCATCTGTAGAATGGAGATAACACCAAACTTGCAATGGATGTAAAGCACTTTAACAGTGCCTGACACTTGGGACTTAAAAATAATAGTAATTCCAAAAATATTTATTGAGCGCCTATAGGAGTGACCTGACGGAGGGACCCAGTTGGGGCAGGACACCAGCTCTAAACCGGCGTTTAGGATAATCCGATGAATGCTCAATAAATGCTAGTTCACTTCTCGTCCAAAAGAGCGGGAGAGCAGAAACCGGGAAAGCACGAATCTGCTGGAGTAGCCTCAGACTTTCTGTACCACCCGCAAACCACATCCCAGGCAGTAAAACGGAGGCGCAGTTGTCCCCTCTTCAGGCACCGGGTCGTGGAACCCGAGTCCGTGCCTCGGAGGCCCAATTCATTTGCCATCTCCCCAGGGGACCCCGCGGCCCGGACTCCCACGACGCGCATTTAAAGCTCCCTCCGCCCTGACTCCCAGCTCCCCCTAGGGGCAGGGACGGTCCCAAGTGCCCTCACTCCCCGCCGCTGCCTTTCCCCTCCCCGCCAAAGAGGAGGAGGCGGGCGCTCGAGCCTCGCGCCCTGGGGCCTCGGAATCCGCCAGGCGAAAGGAGGGAGGTGAAGGGGGAATCGTGTGGGCGGGGAACCCCTCCGGCCGCTGGGAGCCGCCCGGCACCCCTTCGCCCCGTGCAAGGGTTGCACTTTATAGACGCTCCCTGGGCTGTTTCTAGGCTCCCCCAAGTCCCACCTCCTGCCTCTCCGGGTGTCTCGGACCCTAGCTCTTGAGCTGCGGAGAGCGGTGGCGAGAGGGGGCCGCCAGGCCTTTCCTTGGGTTGAGCCTGGAGCCAGCTTTGTGCCTGGAAGCACCCCCTTTTGCCCAAGATATGGTGGGGCAAGCTCCGCTTTCTGGTTGGGGCTCTTGTTTATGAGAAGAATTTCCTCTTTCTTAAAAGGGCAACGATGCGAGTGGGGCCCTCCAGGAGGGACGGGATGGGACAGGTCTGGTCCAACCAGGGAAACGGTGGGAGAGGGTGCAGGACCTAAGCTAGAAGGCCGCTGTATCCTCTTCTGGGCTCGGCCCTGGAAAAGGTGGGACCCACGCTAGCTGAAGAGGGGAGATGGATGGGGACCGGATAATAGGAGAAAGAGGCATCTTCCATTACTCCTCTCCAGCTTCCTGGAGGTGTCCCCTGCACACCCTCTCCATCTATTTACTATTAATTGGGTGCCATCCCCGTGACAGACGTGGGGGAGGGAGGTAAAGTCCCGAATTAAAGACGTCAGCTCTCAGGTTGCTCACACTTCAGCAGGGGGAGCTAGCTAAGTAGAGTGACAGCAAATCCAACAGCCAACAGCGGGACGAGGAAAAAGACGAAGTGTGTGTTAGGCACACCTGGAAAAGAGTGAGTCCAGGGCCAGAGCAGGTAACTCCTGAACAGGATTTTGAAAGCTGAATGGGTAAGGGGGGGCAGCCAAGGGAGAATGAACCTCCCAAGAGTGGGGGGCAGGTGTGCCAAACAGACATGCATCCTTGTGGGGAGTTCTTGGATCTGGTAGGGCAGGGGGGGGGTGGGGTGGGAACCCCAGAGGCATGAGCAGGCTGGCCATCAGAATAGTTAAGGCTGCCACTGAGAATGTGGGTGCAAGGAAGGCAGGGAGGAGAAGGGACCAAAGGATTAGCTACGGGGCTACCCTGGGCCTGGGCAAGGGGTTACCAATGAGGTCAAGCCAAGGTCTGTCATTTCTGGGCAGGGAAACGTTTACAAGGCGCTGTTCTCCACTCTCCCCAGTAGCTCTGGTTCTTCCTAGAGGGAGGGACTGGATGCTTCATCAGCCTCTCGGGTGGGAAGGGGCACCAGGATTCTCCCCCCTCACAAAGGGCGATGGGAGGACACCCTCCCTTTCTGCACTGACACCCCCCCCCCCACACACACTTTCATTTGGCTGGGTTGGGCTCTTAGCAACCCCATTTGGCAGATGAGGAAGCTGAGGTGTTGAATGCAAGAGACACTTGTCCACGGTTGCAAGTCAGAACCCCTCAGAGTCCTGGTGTTTCTGGACCCACCGCCCGCATCATCTGATTCCCTCTGCAGTACAAGGAGGAAAATAACGTGGCTAAAGCGCCCTCCAGCCGCTGGAGCAGTGCAGTTCCAGAATAGCAGCTGGGTGTGGACACCGCCCCCCCCTGCCAGGGAGGAAGCCCCAGGCCCAAGATCCTACTGCGTGGTACTTCTGCCAGTTCCTCGATGTCCATAGACAACCCCACCCACCGCCCAAACACACACACACACACACACACACGCACGCACGCACGCACGCACGCACACACTGCAGGGGACCTCCTGACTCCGTGTGGTAAGATACACCTGGAAGGCTTTGGAGCCTGGGAAGGTCTCCCAGGGGAAGAGGGCTTGGAGGAGGCTAGTGTTAAAGTTGGGAGGCGAGGGGGACTGGCGGTGGGTAGGCAGTGGGCAGCGACCCTGCCCAGTGCCGTATTCATTCGGGCAGCTACTTGGCCTCCCCAGGTTCCAGTCTACAGAGAGGGAGAAACGAAAGAGAGGAAGGTGAGCCGCCCTGCTCCAGCCATGGGATGAGGCCAGGGGTTCACTTAGTCCACCACATATTTCCTTTTGGGGTCAGTGCAAGATGGGCATCCGGAGATAAAGTTGACAACCCGCCCCGGGGCTCAACCGAAGGGGGAGGGTTCTCGGCTTGGTGGCCAGAACCCCACTTCTCCCCTCGCCAGAAGGCTGGCTCAAGTCACTTCACTTCTCCGAGCTCAGTTTCCTTATCTGTAAAATGGGAGATGTAGGGGGTCGTTCTGACGAGTGAACTAGATTAGGGGGCACAGCCGGAGCAGGACGCGAACAGAGCGCTCGCTACACGTGGGCGATTATTAGGATTAAATGCAAACCCGCCGGCGGTGTGGGCGCCACACCCACGGTGTGGGCCGCCTCCTCTCTTCCCGGTCGCCGGGCACAAAGCTGGCGCGCCTTCAGGCCGGCGCCGCTCTCCTACCCTGCAGCCCCGGCGCCGGGCCTCTCCCCTCCCCGGCTCCCCCGCCAACCCACCCCGCCCGGGCCTGGAGGACGTGCGCTGCGCTAGCACCAGGCGGCTGAACGGGACAGGACGCGCCCGCTCCGCCCCGCCACCGAGGCCCCGTGGGGAAGGAAGTGCTGGGGCGTGTTTGTCAGGGCTTGACGTTATTATTATTTTTTAAATGGTGAACACAAAATAGTCAGGAGAATGGAAAGAACTTCATAAACAAGAGAAACAAAAACACCCGCAGACCTCGCAGCGCGTAACAGGGGAACTTCCCTCCAGAAGAATCAGCGGGGAACCGCGGTCCCCGCGCCAGCTGGTGTATCCGTACACCCCAAGTGGAACGGGTGTTTCACATTGTATAAACAGCTAATGCTTGTGGACCCCTCCACCGTCAGAAATTGGGCCTGCAGGAATTAAGCGCCCACTGCGTGCTGGCACCGCGTGAACCCCCTCCCCAACAAGTACAGCGTGGACGGCGTGGGGAGTAGACGAAGGGTCTAGGAAGGCCTCTTGGAGAAGGTGGGGTGCCGTCGAGATCAGTGGGATCGGCTCCGTGAAGGAGCTGGAAGCGCCTTCCAGGCGGAGGGAACAGCGCACACGAAGGCCCTGAGGCGCTTAGGGGCTTGGTACCCTGCCGTGGGCGCGGACGCGCGGGGTACCCGATGGAGCAACCGGGCGAGGTTCGCAGGGGGCATTCCGGCGCAGGGAGTTGTAATTTTCACGCCCTACAGTGCCGGGCCACCTGGCCCCGAAACTGCGGTGGGTGTGGACGGTCACAGTCCGGTCAAAAGCACAATCTTGCGGATCTGCACAGCCTTTTGGAGCCGGCAGGGAGCCTTCACTCGCTCAAGACTTTCCTGCGAGGCGGCCTCTGCAAGTACTGAAGACCCAGTTTGCAGACCGGAGAGCGTTATTCCCGTTTCCCAGATGAGAAAACCACGAAGCGGCTAGTCTGTGGCCCTCGCACAGAGCAGGGGTGGAGCCGCGCCGCCCTCGGGCACTCCCCGGCGTGGGCGCTCGGGGCGGGTGGGGCGGGCCCTGGCCCGGGGCGCTCGGCTGTCTGGAACGGTGGGCCGGGAGCAGGTCCTGCCACGCAGCCGCAGAGGCTCGGCCCCGCGGGCGGGCGGCAGGAAGAGAGGCGACGCCCCCTGGAGCGCGGCAGGAACCCGGCCGGGCCCGCCTCCCAGTCAGCAAAGCCGAGCCGCGCCGGCCCCAGCGGTGATGAAAGCCGCGGCAGAGTCCAGGTCACGCCGAAGCCGTTGCCCTTTTAAGGGGGAGCCTTGAAACAGCGCCCGGGTTCCATGTTTGCATCCGCCTCGCGGGGAGGAAACTCCATGTTGTAACAAAGTTTCCTCCGCGCCCCCTCCCTCCCCCTCCCCCTTAGAACCTGGCTCCCCTCCCCCCCGAAGCCCGCGGGGACCCCCCCCCCCACCCCTCCCCTCCCCCCCGCGCCCCGATTCCGGCCCGAGCCGGGGGGGAGGCCGGGCGCCCGGGCCAGAGTCCGGCCGGAGCGGAGCGCGCCCGGCCCCATGGACAGCTCGGCAGTCATTACTCAGATCACCAAGGAGGAGGCGCGGGGCCCGCTACGGGGCAAAGGTACTGGGGCCGCGCGGAGGGGGCTGCGGCTGGGGCACCGCGGGATGGGAGGAGGAAGGGGCTGAGACCCTTCCTGGGACAGTCGCCGCCGCCGCCCCGGGCGCCCGCCACTGCGGAGCTCAGAACTCCCATCCGGAGAGGGAGCGGGGAGAGAGTTTGAACTCGCCGAGGCTCGGAGACGCGGGGCGGGGCCTGGAGCCACTTGGGCGCTCCCGAGTGCTCGAGATGGGGAAACTGAGGCAGGGGTAGAGAGTGGGTTCCTTCCGGGTCTCTCTGACTGGCATTGCGCGTTGCCCGATAGTCGCCCCCTCCCCCCTATTGGCGCCAATGAGGCTGAGAGATGGGGGGTTGAAGAGGGCGCCTTCAGGCCACCCGGTGAGGCTCCGCCCCGGGCCGCGGTCTAGTTGGGTCGCCGGAGGGGGCGCCGAGGTGACAGCGGGCTGGGGAGGGTTGGAAGGATCTCCCGCCAATACACAGCTACGATCCCAACAAACTTCCGCGTCACGCGTGGAAGCACTGAGCCCCTGAGAGGCGCAAGAGTAGGGCAACCACTTCTACGGGTTCCTAGCGCACCCGCGAGTTCTTTGCATCGGGCTGAGCACCAGGCGCCCCGGCTGCAGGCCCTTGGGCGCCGGGCCTGTGCACACACGCACCGACCGGGTAAGCGGTGCAGCCCGCCCGCCTTGGCCGGGCCCCCGGGGCTGGAGGGTCTAGGCTGGGCGTCTGCCCCTCCCTGTGCCGGTGCTGACCTCGGAGGCTAGGAAGCCCCTCCAGGTTCGCCCAGCTCTGGCCAGGGCCTAGCTCCGCCCGAAGGCAGGGGGCCCGGTAGAGGGGCGGTGGAGGGTGGGCCCGTCAATCAGGCGGCGGATGCCGGGCTCTAGGTCGGAGGTCTGGGCGGGGCGAGGGCGGAGGAGGCGGGGCCGGCAGCTGGCCGCGGGACACTGGCTCCAGGCCCCGGCTCCCTGCCTCTGCGCCCAGCCTCAGTAAGGACTTTGGACCCACGTGGGCGGTAAGGATGGGAGCAGGGCGAGAGTGGACGGCAGGGCCCCAGGCCCCAACCCTCCCCGGTTAGGGGCCCCAGCGAGCAGGGGCTGCTCAGGTAAGGTGGGTGTCTGGAGGCATCCCCGGTGGGGCTGATCCCACAGGAGGGATGAAGTTTGGTAAGAAAAGAGAAAGCCCACGGAGAGTAGCCAGCCCGCGGCCGGATGAGGGGGCCTTTGTAATCACACTGGGAGGATCTGTGGGTACCAGAGGGGTGGCCTGGAGTCCAGGCTGTCAGGAGTTTGCATCTGGGCATGGATGCACGATTCTGCCGGCTAGGGTGCACACCCCCACCTCGAGCCTCTCTGCTTCAGGTGACCAGAAGTTAGCGGCTTCTCAGAAGCCCCGGAGCCGGGGCATTCTCCACTCGCTTTTCTGCTGCGTCTGCCGCGACGATGGGGAGGCCCTGCCGGCGCACAGTGGGGCGCCCCTGCTGGTGGAGGAGAATGGAGCTGTCCCCAAGGTGCGTGGTGGCCCGTTGTGGGCATCTGGGCTCAGACTGGGGCGGGTTTCAGGGAAGGGGCTTTTCACGACCTGTCTGCAGGCCATATAAGGTAGGGAGGGCCCCTCTCCCAAGCCCTGTGCCCTCCCTACCAGGCCTTCCCAGCCTGGCCCTGAATGCCCTTAAGATTGCCACCCAGGCAAGGGTCCCTCAGCCAAGGGAACTCTGGATTTCCCCTATAAGATTGGAAGCTTTTCTCTCCCTTGGCTTCCCAGGTGGGGAAGTGAGGCCTCTAGCCAGGCGGCCTGCCCCAGGCCCCAGTTGGGGGCCGGGGGCAAAGCTGGGAAGGAGGTGGCCTCTCCCCACCATTCCTGTGTCTCCTGGCATAGAGGGCTGAGGGAGGGAAGACCCATGTAGGAGAACGGTGGGGCCTTAGGAGAGGCGCCCCCAACTACTTCACCCATCCCTGCAGCAGACCCCAGCACAGTACCTGCTCCCAGAAGCCAAGGCCCAGGATGTGGACAAGATCTGTGTGGTCATCGACTTGGACGAGACCCTGGTGCACAGCTCCTTCAAGGTGGGCCCTGCCCAGCAGCCCTCAGCTCCCTGGGTCTCTGAGGGGGGCCTGCCCTGGACTGGGGGCTGGGGTCGTCTCTGCAGGCCCCGCCCCAGCAGCTCCTTTTCCCCCCACAGCCAGTGAACAACGCCGACTTCATCATCCCTGTGGAGATTGATGGGGTGGTCCACCAGGTGAGGGGCTGGGTGTGGGGGGAGGCGGCGGGCTTGGCACCTGCCTTCCAGACCCCAGGCTCCTCTCATCAGTTCTGAGGACCCCAGGTGGGACTTGGCTAGAGGTGGAACAGAAGGGTCCAGAGGGTGTGAGACTTGCGCCCAGGATGATACATACCCTCGGGGACTTGGCCCGACTCCAAGGCCTGTAGGGAGTGGGGCTCCTCCTCGGCGCCCCCTTGCCCCCCTTGCCCGGGACCCAGTTCAAGTAATTCAGGATAGGCTGTGTGCTGTCCAGCCTGTTCTCCATTACTTGGCTCGGGGGCCGGTGCCCTGCTGCCTCGGGGTGAGGGGGCCGCCCTCAGGCCCCTTCGTTTGCCTAAGGCCATGGTGGGGCAAAGACTGGGAATTAGTGATTCCCCGTGAGGTAGGACCTGAAGCTAGAAGTTGGAGGTTCATTTTGATCCTCTTCTGGAAGGACAGGTGCTGGCCAAGTGGAGCCCGTGGGCCCTGGGACCAGCCTCCCTCCTGTGTTCCTTGCTCTGTTCCCTCCCTGTCCTCAGCCGGGCACCACCCCCCCCACCCCACCCCCACCCCACGCCCTGCCTGCGGGCCAGCAGTCCCCTCACCGGCCCACCCCCTAGGTCTACGTGCTGAAGAGGCCCCACGTGGATGAGTTCCTGCAGCGAATGGGCGAGCTCTTTGAGTGTGTGCTGTTCACCGCCAGCCTTGCCAAGGTGAGGCCCCCCCCAACCCCTCCAAAGGGCTCCTGGGGCCACCCGCTTCCCCTCCACCTCCAGCCTGCAGTCGGGTGGACCATTGGGTTCTCTTTGGGCCTGGATGACCCGTGTTCCACTCTATAGTACGCAGACCCAGTAGCCGATCTGCTGGACAAGTGGGGGGCCTTCCGGGCTCGGCTGTTTCGTGAGTCCTGCGTTTTCCATCGGGGGAATTATGTGAAGGACCTGAGCCGGCTGGGCCGAGACCTGCGACGGGTGCTCATCCTGGACAACTCACCCGCCTCCTACGTCTTCCATCCAGACAACGCCGTGAGTACTGGGCAGGACCAGGTTGGGGGACCGAGAGCCAAGAAGAGGGTCCAGCCGTGGGGGCTTCCTTGGCCTCCCTACTGCTGTGCTGGGTGGTGTCTGGGCCTAATGCTCTCCTGGTCATCTGTGCTTCCTGCCCTCGGGGACCTGTGCCTCCCCCCCAACACACACCCACTGCCGCTGCAGCTTTTCGGACCTTACTGATCATTCCATCCACTTGCTTGGAGGGGGTGCCCACCAGGGGCGGGGGGGTGCCTTCTGCATCCTGGAGCAGATTCAGCTTCTGAAAATCACCAGTTGTGACCTAGTCTTGGGTCCCAGAAACAATGTAGTGGGTCCTAGTTGGAGTTTTAAAAAAAACAAAAGAGAATAGAAAATATCGGAGGGCTTTGCACCCGGGAAGGTTAAGTACCACTTTATAAAACCGGCAGTGTATCGTATAGGTAAACGGAATTCACAGTGGGTTGCTGTCAGGAATGTTTGAAAATCTTGAGTCAGGGGCTCCCCGGGGGGTGGCCCGCCAAACAGTGGGTGCTCAGGGCTGGTCTGGATATCCTGTGCCCGGAGCCACCTGCTCTCCTTAGCACCGCGCATCCCTCTGCCCAGGTACCGGTGGCCTCCTGGTTTGACAACATGAGCGACACGGAGCTCCACGACCTTCTGCCCTTCTTCGAGCAGCTCAGCCGCGTGGATGACGTGTACTCAGTGCTCAGGCAGCCACGGCCAGGCAGCTAGTGAGGTGCCCTGGGGCCATGACCGGCCCCTGACCAAGGCCCACACCCCTCCCATGTGGACTTGTCCTTACAAAAACCCAGCAGCGGTGGCCCACTTCAGCCCTCAGCGGCATGGGGAAGTGGGCCCTCCCCGCCTGCCCGGCCAGGCTGCGCCAAGAGCAATGAGCCTCTGGGTCCCTGTGTCAGTGCCTTAGAACCTCCTCCTCCTCCTTGGGGGACCTGTGGGGCCCTGTGGGGCGCTCCCCCTCCCTCTCCCTCTCTTTGCTGCCATGTTTCTTTGCTGCCAAATAGGGCCCCTTGGCCCTTTCTGGTTCTACTTGGGGGAGGGGCAGGCTTCCTGCTGCCCCATGCCTTGGACCCCCAGCCTGGGAATGGTGGACACCAAGTGCCTTCCTTGCATAGAACCCTTTTTGCCCTGCCCTGTTTTCCCAGGGCCGTGATCGGGTCGGCTCTGGCCTGGGACAGTCTCCAGATGGCTGCAGTTGAGGCTGGAAGGGGCGAGGAATTAGCCTCCCCACCTCCTCCCTTGGGACTGGTCAGCCCCCACCCATCTCTGCCTCCTAGGAGGGTGGGGAGGGGAGATCTGTTATCATTTGGTGAAGGGAATGGGGTGTGTCCTGCGGGACCCCAGAGTCCAGCTTCTCTAGGCTCAGCAGCAGCTGAAAGCTGCTTCCCACACCGAGCCCTGACCTCTCACATCTGCCTTAACCATCCCAAGGCCCTGGGGCCACCACCCCAGCCCTGGTGTTGGGGGCAGAGGCAGGACCCGTTTGTGGTGCCATATAAATATGTATATGTGTATATAGATTTTTAGGGGAAGGGGAGAGGGAAGGGCCAGGGTGCAGAGACCTCCCCAGTCCTTCACCCCTTTCCTGGACCCATAAATTGTGGGGAGGGAGGGAAAGGATTTTTACGTTTTTTAAACTGCTATTTTCTGAATGAAACAGTCTGGGCCAAGGGGCCCCAAGCCCTGTCTTCTGCCCCTCACACCCTCTTTGCTCCAATTATTCATTCATTGAAAACACATCAGCACATTCTCTGTGCCCAAGGCTGTGCTAGGCCCACCAGCTGTGTGTGTGGGGGTCTCTGCATCTCATTGGTGCCCTCCCCCACCCACTTCATACTTCACTGGTGCCTTTCGGGGAGCTGTAGGAGGTGGGACCCTTCTTGGGGGGTTTGGGGGTCTCCAGGAAGCCTGGCCAAGCTGTCCCCGTCCCCCCTGTGCCAACCCACCCCTCTTGTGCTCTTCCCCCACCCCCACCCCCTGCTGGCTGGGGGCAGCTCCCAAGACATCCTGCCTTCCAGCTCTGACTTCTTTATCTGGAACCCCTTCCCCAAAATGCTGAGTCTGGAGATCAAGGCCTTGGGCTCTCCCCAGGGCTTAACGGTTAAGGGGACCCACATACCAGTGCCATGGGGGGTGTCCAATGGAGATATCATTGCCCCTCCGCCCCAGAGAGCTGGGGGTGGGAGGGAGGACAAGGTTGGCCAGAATCAGGTGACCTTCCCATTTAAGTGCCTTCTCTGTGACTGAGAGCCCCACAGTATGACAAGAACTAAAAACGCAAGACCCCCCATCCAGCCTCTGTGGTCACTGGGGGGACGTTGAACGGGGGGGGGGGGAATGGGGGTTGTCCTCAGGCCACACCCTCCAGGGATGTGGAGGGAGGGGCTACCCTGGCCCCCCCGCCCAGGCTTCAAGTGTGCAAGTGTGAGGTGGGCGCACAGTGGCGAGTGGACCTGAGCACACCGCTGTACTGTTTAATTATTCTGCGTCTCGTCGCCTGTTACCTGACCTGCAAAATGGAGAAATGCCCTCTTTGCAGAGTTGATTAAATGCCAGCACGCGGAGGGCTCGCAAGTATTAGCTGTAAAGTAAAGCTGGGCTGCGTCCCTAGGGGAGGCACTGGGAAGGTATTTGCAGGCGGGAGGGGTGTGGCCTCTGTCCCCGGGTAGAGGGGAGGGGCTGCGGCGGGCCCCGAGCGGGGCGTGGGGGCGGGGCGAGTTCCCGGGAAGCCAAGTTCAGCGCCAAACGGAAGAACTTTGGCTGAGGTGTCTGGAAGGGCAGGCAGGCGGAGGCGTCAAGGTCTTTGGGGGAGACGGTGGGCCCGGCGCTCGGTCTCCTTGACCTCCGCGCCTCTTTCCCCCATCCGCCCCTCCACGGCCCCTCAGCACCTACTGGCCGCGCCCTTGCACTGGCCTCCGGCCCACTTCCTGCCTCCGCCCCTCTGGCCCGGGCAGCACTTCCTTTGCAAAACCAGGCAGCCCCAGGCCTTGGCAGGAAGTGCCCTCACGCCCCTCCCCGCCCTCGCCTGCTTCTCACGGTGGCCGCTAGAGGCCTCTCTGTCCTCGGCGACTCCAGCCTGCCCTTCCCCCAACCCGGGGGTGGAGGGGGCTGGAAAAATGGGGGCCATCATCGTTTACCTACCTCCCGGGGGTGGGGTAGTTTTTCCCCCAATACACATAAACACATTGGAAGGAAGGGAGACCTGCTCTTCCAGAAGTTGGTCTCTGTCCCCCCAGCTCTGCCTACCCTGCCCCCACACCCCCTCATCCCCATACCTTGTGAATCCAGCCTCAAGTCGGCCTCCTCGCGCCCCAGATGCTGGTCCGTCCCCCAAGTTGGGGGTTGGGGGACGACCTCAGCGTGTGACAGCTCTGGAAAGCACCGATGTGGAAGGAAGCCCACAGCTCCCAACCACCCCACTCTGAGCTGGAGTCCGCTGGGGCAGGACAAATACCCAGCCCTCTCTGTCTCTGCCTTCCTCCTTTCCCCAGTACTACTGGATTTCTTGCTCTCCCAGTAAACACTGGTTACCCCCAAGATTTGCATCCAAGGGGCCCTGACATGCCAGGGAGTCGCCCAGGGTTCCCAGCTCTGAATGAGATCACAGCCAGTCTCTCCCCACCACCACCCACACAGCCTTCACCCACGTGGAGTTCAACTTAACCACAGGTATCTGCATTCACTGTGTGCTGGGCACGATGCCAGGACCCAGGGACACCCCACAATTGGGCCATCCCTCTGCTTTCGAGGAACCCACACCCCAGTTCTGAGAAAGACACCTGAGCAGACTAAAACCTGAAATGCGGAGGGCCTGGGTGCCTCAGATGATTAAGCGGCTGCCTTCTGCTCAGGGTCATGATCTCCAGGTCCTGGGATGGGGCCCAGAGCCCTGTCTGGCTCCCTGCTCAGCGGGGCGTCTACTCTGCCTTTCCCTCTGCCTTTCCCTCTGCCTCTCCCTCTTCTCCTGCGCTTACGTGCTCTCTCAAATGAATAAATAAAAATTTTTTAAAGATTATTTATTTATTTATTTGACAGAGAGAGAGAGATCACAAGTAGGCAGAGAGGCAGGCAGAGAGAGAGGAGGAAGCAGGCTCCCCCCTGAGCAGAGAGCCCAGTGCGGGGCTTGATCCCAGGACCCTGGGACCATGACCTGAGCCGAAGGCAGAGACTTTAACCCACTGAGCCACCCAGGCACCCCAATAAATGAAATATTTTTAAATAAATATATAAATGAATAAAACTTGAAATGCAATCAAAGCCGAGAGAGAGAGATTGAGAGAGAGAGCGAGAACACGGAAGGTAGGCAGCACAGGCGGCACTTCAGCCCAGCTGGGATGGCCTAGAAGCTTTGGACATGCTTCCTGCTGCCTTGTAGCTCAGAGGAGTTCGGGAAGGCGGAGCAATTCAGGTTAAAGGTGGCCCAAGCAAGGAGTGGCATCAGGAAGGAAGTGGGATGTCGGGACTGCCAGGAAGTGTGGAAAAGGAGAATTTTGGAACACCACACAAGGGAGGAAGGAGGGGAAATGGTGCTGGAGACAGGAGGAGAGGCCGAATCGTGCAGATCCTTAGGCAGACCAAGGGAGTGTGGCCTTCTTATGGGCGGTGGGTGCCATTGAGGAACACTGACTAGGTGGGGCGGTGCTCAAAGGCTGCAGCTGAACTTGGGAAGCTCAACCAGGGGGTCCAGTGACATGAGACCATATGGGGAGACCACAGTCATGGTCTCAAACATGGAGGACGGAAGCCTGGGCTGAGCCAGGGGCGAAGTGAAGAAGAGGATAGAAGGGATGGTTGTGAGAGACGAGATAAACTTGGCCGGAAGCTGTGGCTGCTTGGCTTGGGGGCTGGGGGCAGGGATGGCTGGGAGGGAGGAAGGTTTTGGCAATGTCAGCGGTGAGAATGTATGTAACGGGAGCCTGGTACGGGCAGATATTCACTATTCGCTTGTTACACAGGAGTCAAGGGTGCAGGGGAGCGGGCACCCGATAAAACGCAGCTGGCAGGGCTAAGAGCTGGCACAACCTCTTTGGGGAGCAATTTGATATTAGTGACCAACACTACTTTTTTTTAAATAAAGATTTTATTTATTTATTTGACAGAGAAAGACACAGCGAGAGAGGGAACACAGCAGAGGGAGTCGGAGAGGGAGAAGAAGGTTTGTCGCCAAGCAGAGAGCCTGATGCAGGGTTTGATCCCAGGACCCTGGGATCATGATCTGAGCCAAAGGCAGAGGCTTATACTTTATACAAAATTACTTTTGAGGGGCGCCTGGGTGGCTCAGTGGGTTAAGCTTCCAACTCGATTTTGGCTCAGGTCCTGATCTTGGGGCCTTGAGATCAAACACCCCTTCGGGGCTCCTCTTGCTCAGGGAGGAGCCTGCTTGAGCTCCTCTCTCCCTCTGTCCCTCCCCCAACTTGCGCTTTCTCTCGCTCTCTCCCATAAATAAATAAATCTTTAAAAAATTATTATTATTATTTTTAAAGTTTATTTATTTGACAGCGAGAGAGAAGGCGAGAGAGGGAATACAAGCAGGGGAAGTGGGAGAGGGAGAAGCACGCTCCCCACTGAGCAGGGAGCCCAATGTGGGGCTGGATCTCAGGATCCTAGGATCAAGACCTGAGCCAAAGGCAGATGCTTAATTACTGAGCCACGCAGGCGCCCCTAAAAAATTATTTATTAAATACAGATACTTTTTTTTTTTTTTAAGATTTTACTTATTTATTTGAGAGAGAGAGAGAGAGAGATCTCGGTGCGGGACTCCATCTGAGGACTCGATCTGGGAACTCCGGGATCATGACCTGAGCCAAAGGCCGTCACTCAACCAACTGAGCCACCCAAGCGCCCTGCAGATACCTTTTGATCCAGCAATTCTACTTTTAGGAATTTGTGCTGTGTATAAAATGTACATAGTATAGACTTGTATGCATAAGGATGTTAATTGCATCCTTGTTTGTGATAGCAAAACACTTGACATTAACCTGAGTGCCCGTCAGTAAGGGACTGGTTAAATAAAGATTGCTGTATCTATAGCAGAGAGTACCACCTAGTCTTGAAAAACAGTGAGTTGGAACTATTTGAGCAGCTATAGAATGATCTCCGGGACAGATGACTGGTAAATGAAACAAAGCAAGAGTCCTAAAATGGCGATGGTGAATTCTCATAAAGGAGAAGTACAGAAACAGACACAAATATATACTTGCTTATCCTCCCATTGGGGACACAAGAAATGAGAACTGTTCCCAATTCTGGGAACAGGGCTGGGGGACTGGGTGGGATTCCTCTACCATGGAAGGGACACATTTTATTATACATCTAATTTGAATTCTCTAAACCAGGCATGTTCATTAATTTTAAAATAAAAATCAGTTGAAAATATATAACACAGCTTCCTAAATATAATATCAGAGATAGAAATCATAGATTCCATTTCTTTCCTTCAAACATTCTTGGCAAAGCCTACCAGGTACCCGGCACTAGGGTTTGGCAGTGGGCTAACAGATGTGGTGAGGAAATCAGGTGTTGAAAAAGCAATTACAGAATGAATATTATAAAAGAAGAAGTTGGGGTGCCTGGGTGGCTCAGTGTGTTAGACCTCTGCCTTTGGCTCAGGTCATGATCTCAGGGTCCTGGGATCAAGCTTTACTCAGCGGGGGGCCTGCTTCCCCACCCCGCTCACCTGCCTCTCTGCCTACTTGTGATCTCTGTCAAATAAACAAATAAAATCTTAAAAAAAAAAAAAAAAAAGAAGAAGTAAAAAGTGGTAAGTAAGGAATTTAAGACTTTCGTGCTTCTGGTGTCAAACTGTCACCCCAAGATGACTCCTAATTACAAAGGGAAGAATGTGCCTTTACGGAACCTAATCAAGATGTAAGATACACTTTCGGTTTGTGGGCAATACTGGGGGAAGAGGAACAAATTAAATAATACACAAGGAAAGAGGGGTGCCTGGGTGGCTCAGTGGGTTAAGCCTCTGCCTTCAGCTCAGGTCATGATCTCAGGTTCCTGGGATCGAGTCCCGCATGGAGCCCCGCATTGGGCTCTCTGCTCAGTGGGGAGCCTGCTTCCCCCTCTCTCTCTGCCTGTCAAATAAATAAATAAAATCTTTAAAAAAAAATACACAAGGAAAGACTCAGACAAATCCCCAATGTGAACACACGATGAAACATGTGTCCTTGACTGGGGTAAGTCAACATCAGGAAAAAAGAGGAGGACTGTTCTAGATTTACAAAATACTGAGAAGACGTCCTTCTCAAAGGAAATGCAGGATCTTAATTTGATCATGAGTTAATA